CCCAAAACATTAAAATGTTGAAAATTTACCAGCATATCGGCCAATATTGCAAACATATCACTTGATCCCGGCATGGGAGAAAGATACAAACAAGCACACTGGGTGCCACAGCTCAGAATCTATGGGCTTTATAATGCAGGCTTTAATTTTAAATGTAATATCCTAAAACGGTGGGCAGTCCCTTTAGAAAAAAAAATTACAGATGGCTACAAAACATAAACATACACGCAAAGCAACTGTTTAAAATAAGAAAGAAAGAAATGCAAAAGTGAAGAAAGTGCTAGGAGTATTCTTCTGATCCAGGGAATAGAAGAAAAAAAAAACTTAAGCATAAACCCAGTTAGAATCTGGACCGTGAGAACTTGGACAACTATTGAACTTTTTAAAAAATCAGTTTTGGGATCAAAGTAAATTTGCTGGCCCCCCACCTCTCTCCAATCTGATGTAAGGGGCCAGTGGCTGGGTACTAATCTAACACCAAAGGCATTTTTAGAAAAGCTTTAAAAAACACGGAGTTCAAACATGGATAACAGAACCTTTAGGCAGCGGTTCATGGTAAAGTGGAAATGAACCTTGTATACGGTGACATTGATTTTGAATGGCACTACAATGCACCTGCACTGCAGCAGGGCCCACCACACAGCAACGTATCTGAAGAAGGGTCAGGTGCATTGGCAACCCATTCAAAGTTAATAGGCTGGTTTAACATAAAACACATTAACATGAGTGCATTTAACACACCAGACAAATACGACCGTGGCCTTAAGGTCCTAGAGAGACAAGAATTATTAAAATATCCCAAGGCATTCCAGACATGTTTACACGCTTTATAAATAATTTCATTTATTATAACTATTTAATGCAAGGTGTCAGCTAACCAGATTTATAAAAATCCAATATAACCAGGTTTATCTGGCTTTTGAAAGGGCTGCTGGTGAGACTGCAGTGTTTTGTGTAATATCACTCATACTACAATGTTATCGTAAGAGAGTGAAGGAACCAGTTCATTTGACTATAATTACAGTGTCTCATTTAGGGCCATTGAGAAGACAAGGCTATCACAAACTCCAAGAACTCAGCCCTCAGCCAGTAGGACAGACTATCCTTGTGCTACAGACATGTAGATGATAGAAAAGAGGTGCAGTTATGCGATGTGGGAAGGACAACAATGAGTCTGTATGATAGATTTCAAGATATTCCTGTTGGTCGAACTTAGGTAAACATAAATGTACCTAAATATTTTACTGGAGGTCTCCAATTACGATGCTACGTCTAAAAAAAACCCAAAAAAACAAGCAACGCATATACCATAATACTCTATATCCTATGACAAAGAGAAGTTTAATAGATCTTTACATTACGTACTAGGATACCCACAGGTATAGATTTAAAAGGGGACATGTCTCACTTGTACAAATGTAATCATTATGTTTTTCCTTCTCTCTACATATTTTTACCTTTTTTAATTCCCCCCCTTTCTTATTTCTGCTTTGTATGGGGTATACTAGCATAAGGACTAATAGAATAGGAAGATTTCTTACCAGACATTAGTACCTAACTTGCATTGGAAAAGCTATCCTCCTGAACAATGTTGTATTTAATACATTAATAAAGGTCTTGGTGTTTTTATAGCGAATTTTGGATAAGGAGTACTGTAGTACATTAGAGCTATAAAGATATGATGGAGGGCCTGTCTGAATAAGGAAAATAAAATAAAAAATAGACTTTAAGATGGAGTATAAACTACAGGCATAAACCCTAAACAAATATGCATTCTATGTGCTATGTTTATAAAAGCTCCCACTGTTAACTCAAACTCCATAACTAAGCTAATTTCTGATTAACACATTTAAAATGTGTTAAAGGGAGGGGACCCAGGGTTTGTTGGAACAATAAAGTTTTGGATGCTTTTTTCTCATGGAAACTTGTGAACACGAATGTGTAGAGGTGGGACACGCCACAATGAGTGACCCAGAAGTGGAATCAGGGATTGCACAATAGTCTCTTGTGATTGCGCTAGTGGTCACCCACAAGGGGAGTTAAAGGACTCCGTTTTTTTGCCGCAGGGATTACCAAGATACCATCAAAACACTAACAAGAACCAGGAGTTACTGCTTATAAACAATCTCCATGAACATTATCGTTCAAATTTATAATGTGGAACTGAGGAGTACAGTCTTTGTAGTCTGTGAATAATACATACGCTAATAAGAATCTTTCAATGTAGGGGTTTAATACTTTTTCTTTTTAAGCTACTTTAAATGCCATCAATAAAGTGTTTAACTTAGAAATTGACTGAAAGCTGACATTTGCTATAAAAATGTGCACCGTGAATAAAGCTTTCGCTGCAATGTAGCAGTCATTAAAAGAGAACTATGAGGCAAGTGTTTTTCCCCATAGTTCACTTTAGGGTCACGGGAGGACATATACTAACCTCCTCCCGTGACCCAAAGCTCAGTGTATCGATGCTGTCAAGATCCACCCAGCTGCGTGAGTGACAGCTGGCTCTGCCTATCTAGAAGCAGAGCCAGCTGTGCCCGCCCCCTCCCCCGTCCGTTCTGCCACTCAGCGCTGGAGGATCGGACAGGGGATCCCCATGGGGGGCCGTGAATAACAGTCACTCTCTCTGCAGGGAGATGATTGAGAAGTGAGCAAGCGACGGTATGTGTTCGCTCACTTCCCCATCTATTGAGCCGACGTGTGACAGTTTAATTGTCACATGTCGGCTCGAACTATGAGGGTGAAGTGATTTTCAGTCACCTCATAGTTCTCCTTTAAGCTTACTGTTGCTTCTTATTGAGTGATATTCAATGTAACCCTGATTGTTACTGCTATAAAGG